ACTTCTTTGTTAAGGGTCATTTTCCCATGGCTGGACTGGGACCCAGTGAGGGTAATTCTTTGCTCTGCCAGCCCAGTGTTTGTTCCCAAGTTTAGTACCATCCTCATGAAAGTTTCCATGTTTCTTTAGGATTAATTTCAAGCCATATGTTTCTGTTTTGAAACTACGATGGCTTTTGCTCTGTAGTGATCAGTAGAGAGAGAGAAAAAGGGCAAAGGCTTTTGTTACCAAATACTGAGCTCCCAAAAGTTGAGTCACTATCATAGGGCTAACTAGACAACGTCACCACCTTGCAAAACACAGCATTGACACTCTCTTCCCCTGGCACGTCAATTTTCTCCTAACAGCCAACTCCACTCTTTCTGTATTGGATGCCTTCTGGAGAAAGTAAAGATACCACTCCTCAGCCAAGCCCCTCCCTCAAAGGGCTGGCACAGCCAGCCAGCAGGAGTACGCAATCGTTCTTGAAAATTAGCAACACCAGGACCAGGTTCTGTTTATCCCATCCATCAAGGCAGCTGCTGAAAAAGAAATGCACACATGTTTCCCCACAAATGAAAATTTAGGTGGAACATGCCTGCATCCGTGGGAGAGTCAAGAGGGTTTCCCACGGTTCTGTGCCACTAGATTCTCTCTAAAACACACCTGGTCCAAGGATAACAACAGCCATCCCAGGGATGCCTAAAGTGTGGATCTCTGAATATATCCCCCTTGGTCCAGGGCGTCCCAGAGACCCGGTGGAATGCTCTTCAGCTTAATACAGAGTGAGAATCGCCACCGGGTAATAAATTTCTTTCTGTCCTAAAATAGTAGTCCATGAGGTCATCATTGCAAGCGAGAGGTGTTCTATCTCCTCGATGGTGGCAAAGTGCCTCTTTTGATTGAAAAGTGCTGATTTATCCCAGAATGCACTACTCCTGCCCGCTGCTCATCTCCATCCCACCCTCCTGAAGGATGTTCTTGACTGCGTCAACGCTGCTAGCTGAACCCAGCAGCAAACTTTATCACCAGCATGCCATCCTCGCCAGACTCTTGGCTGAGAGAAGCAGAAGCCCACCCATGCTAACATTTGAAGGACCCAGAAGGAGGAAAGGGAGGTCTGGCTTCCGGAGGAGTGATTTGCACTCATTGCTGCTTGCCTTCTGGCCACTGTGGCCACATAGCAGCGCCCCTCATCGGGCTTCCCCTGAACATCCCCAGCAGTGACTAGCAGCACTGAGGAGTACTTGTGTGCGTTGTGGGGAAGGGCTCACTGTGGAGCCAGCTGCTCTGTCTGCCCAGTGCTGCTGTACCTCTTCAGACACTAACACGTGTAGGTCAGAAGAAGCCAAATTTCGATCGGCCACGAGCATAGCCAAAATGGCCCTTCTGCCTGCAGCTCCTCTTCTCTGAATCTCGACCTAAATCTCAAATCTGACAAGCCGCGGGTGAGAGTTTGCAGAAATATTAGGGAAGAACCCTTGCCAGAACTGAAACCGAGATGAAATCAACAATAGAAAAGCACTGGAACCTCCTGGGCTTGCAGCCAGAGCCCTGGAACCTAGCATGCGACTACCAGCAAATGCAGGCTTCTCCACAGCGATTTATAGCAATGATGCTCACAGAGATTTACAGCGGAGACTAGAGTGTGGCACTCTTGCAAATGCAGAGGGTTGGGGGGAGCGGAGGTAGACAAGGACAATGAAGAAAGAGAAAGTGACAAATTCCCATGCAATCCAAACAGTCTGAGCCACTCCTTTCAACCTCAGAAATGTTACCGTGGTTGGGGCGATCCCAATGGTCTTCGAACCTCATTGGAAAATGTCACAATAGATGTTTGAATTAAAATCCAGTAGATTTGCCAAAAGACTGATTGTTTAAAATTGGCAGCATTCCAGAGAACTTACTAGGCTGCATACTACCCCGGGGGCTGAGAGAATTGCTAATTCCAGAGAAAGTTAATTATCACCTTATTGATAAAGGGGTAATTTTTAAAGCTTATGGTGTGGCTTTTGTGACTCATTAATTAAAATTTAGAGTCGTTTACCAGACACAGTGGTGGCTTCTGTTATTATATATATATATATATATATATATATATATATATATATATATCCAGACCAAGCAATTTGACTGTTCTCCCAGGGGCTGTTATTAAACCCCCTCATCTCTCCTCACCTGTCTGCCTTCGGAGGCAACAAAAAACATTAAAAACGCGTAAATCTCAAACCAGCCTTTGGGGAGCTGGCTGAATTAAGATGTCCAAAGAGGCGCTTAAACAAAGCTCCCTCCTAGATAGGTCCAGGGCGCCCACCCCCCCGACGAAGCACGGACGCTCACACCCAAAGGGACTGCTTGTCCCTTCGCAAACTTCGGCTCCAAAATGTGAGACCGAATTTTACTCCCTGGGGTGGTGAGACGCAGTGAGATGCCCCCTCGTTTCTCTTCTCTCCCTCGCTGTCCCCGAGTCAAAGCAGGTGGCTGGGTGGAAGAGGAGAGGCGCAGGCTGAACCTGGAGGGGACTCGGCAAGGGAAGCCCCAGGCCGGCGCCGGCCAGCGTCGCCTCCCGCTCGGCCGGGGACGCGCGGGCTGCGGCGGGCGCGCCCCGGACTCCCGGGCGTCCGCGCGCGGCCGAGGCTGCCGGCGGGCACCGGGCCGGGGAGGGACGACGCCCGGCGGAGCCCCGCCTGGGAGCCCCCGGGAGCCCGCTCCCGGCTTCCGCCCGCCCCACCCCTGCCTGGACCCAAGCGTGTGTCTGTGTGTGTGATGCGTCCCCGATCTGCAAAACAGCCTGAAAGGGAACTCCCCCAACCGTACGAACGGGTATTCCTCTCCGAGCGTGCCTCCTTCGGATTTCGGGGAACTTCAGGGATGGGATGTTGCCTTCAATGGGTTGGAAGTGTGTGAGCTCCACGATCGAGATGGAGGCATAAATACGTCCACCAAGTTAAGAGAGGCTGGATGCCATCTGCTTGTGATTTTCACATCATTGCAAGTTAAAAAAAAAAAAAAAAAAGTTTAAATTCGATCTTTGTGCATTGGGGCATCGCTCGGATCTTTAGAATAAGCCAATACGAACGACTCCACGTTGAAAAAGTCATGACTTTCTTGAATTTTCAGTAGAAAAGTTCCCGCGGCGGGACGACAGCACGTGGGGCTGGCTGGCTTCCCAGCAGCTGGTCCGCGAGTCCTACCTGCTGCTGGCGAGCACCCCGCGCGACCCCAGCGCCCCCACGCCAGCCGAGAACCAGAAAGCGAAACTGCTTTTGCTGGTTTCACTCGCCTTGAAAACACACCACCAAAAGCAAGTAAGTGACCGAAAGCGATTTACTCCTGTTTCTCTTATTGTTTTCTTTCTATTATCATTCATTTACTTTTTTTTTTTTTCCTTTGCGGTAAAAGAAAAGTCATTTTGGTGCCACAAGGAAATGTAAACGCGTTAAGCACGGAAGAACTGGGTTTTTGGGTGGGATTTGCTCTTGTGATTCGACAAAGCAAACCGACTGAGAGATTTGCCAAAATATGACAGAGACTGTCCACAAACACAATTTAAAGAGCTGAAGAAAACGTATTCACATTTAAAAAAAAAAAATATTTGCGTAAACGCATAGATTTAAAAGGTAAAGATCTGAAGCCATCAAACAACTTCCCTAAAACCAAAGTTTCCATGTTAAGGTTTTGTTTGAGTTGATCACTACCGACTTTCTAGGTAATCTTCACCCAGCTGCTACTCCTCGGTAACTGCCCCCCTTATTTTCTCAGTCTGGTTGTACCAAGCAACACACACACACACAAATGTTCCACACAAATATTGTGCCCCTAGGTAGTTTACTTTACCACACTGTAAATCCTTCATAGTTATTTTTGTGCTTTCACTCCAAATATTCTGGGTTTTTTTTAAGTCTCGAGGGAAAAAAAAAAAAAAAAAACTATGTCTCCCACTCTTCAAAAATGGTTCCTGTGCTTGAAAAGAAAGAAAAACACGAGAGTATACAACGTCTCAATTCTGACGTGTCGCCGGGATCACTTTCTCAAGTACCACAGCGTCTGAGACCAACCAAAAGCCACTTTCCAGAAAGCTACTGATTGTCTGACCCTCTTGAGATGGTCAGAGGATCCCGAGACAACACCATGAGGCGCTTCTCTATTACTATTAGGGGTAGCGGAAAGAACTTGGACTTAGTGCCTCAATTATGGGTCAAATGATTTCCACACAGCTGACACCACCCTTGTCCACTGTCCTGTCCTACTCGGCAAGCAACCTGGAGAGGAAGCTTTGTGCACCGGGTCGTAGTCACACAACACCCCACCTGGGAAGAAGGTGACTCTGTATTTGAACTTGGGAAAACTGATCCTGACGCTCCATAGACACCTGTTTTTTTTTTTTTTCCTCCAAAACTAACCAGTACCCACTACCAGCAGTAAATAGTATTCTCATCTATCTTGATAAATTAAGAAAAAAAAAAACATTACATTTACAAAGACATTGTAAAATATTCCACCTGGGATAGAAATAATAAAACTCAATTTTAAAAAGTACTCTTGTGAATCACAACACATTAATTTTACTAATTAAATTTTAGTAAATATGTTTATCCCAAGACATAGAACACTTTTTGAATTAGAACCAAACCAAACAAAAGCAAAGCAAAATCATCATGCAAATAAGTAGAACAGTTACTTGAGTTCATATTTGGGGAAAACAAAAACAACTTTCTACGTCTTTCAATGCAGAGTTAAAGAGTAATGAACGTGTAAGTACCGCAAATTTATAAACTATATAATTCTAAACTACCTCTTCCTCTCTGCGATCTGGTTAAGAAATCAAACATTTTTGTTCTGTGTAGGAGGAACTGAAGTTACCTGCTGGCCTCAGTGATTTGAGTGCAGGACACTCGGGCATTGCCATGGAGGGAGGCATGCAAGCCAGACACACTGGAACAGGTCACCTGTCATGTTGACAGTAGAAAGAGAAGGATCCCGTGTCAATGGCACGCCCTCCAGTTATGCATCTCCCTTACCTACGGCTGGTTCACCGGAGCCCTGATCAGATTCTTGACCAGGCCGGGAATGTTGACTCAGAAGACAGATGACTTTCAGTACATGCAAATCGAGTATTACAAAAGCTAATCTTCCACCCGTGTGTTAGTAGCTCACAGTGAGTCTCCAGCAGCCCCGCTCTCCGGCTGCAAACATCTCATTAGACTAATGCATTCAGCACAGGCAGAAAACTCGATTTACCATAGCTACAGCAATGAATTTCCATTACGATGACAGCTTCAACCACATCATGTCCGGAAAACCAGCCAACCACTGGCTTTTAAAGAACACACACATTTTACATGCAGAAAACGAGGCGTGTGTGTGTGTGTGTGTGTGTGTGTGTGTGTGTGTGTGTTTCGTGTTTCCTTCCTCTTAGCAGCCCAACTCAGAGAAATGTGTGGTGTAGCTTTTTGCCGACATGAGCTGCAGGGTAATGACACTTCTGCTTCTTTGGTAGTTACGTCCTTGTAATAACCTGAATTATGTCACAATTGTCAGAATGGGTGTTTCCAACATTTCGGTTTTCATTGCCCCTCCTCTGTTGCCATAGAAACCAGACTGTAACATCATCTCTTTGTCCCAGTCCTGCAGCAGTGTGGGCCAGCGCTGGGCTTGTAAGATAGTGGGGATCTGGATGAGTGAGTGTTTGACGTTAAACAAATAAAACGACAACGACAAAAATATTCTAATAACATCACTGTGCGGGAGAGAATGTGTTTGTCACAGACAGTGTTGCCTATACAGATGGACACACCATAGTCACACGGATGGACTTGACAGCTGTGTGCAGCACACGTGGTCAGAGGACGCAGCCAGGACTTGGGCTCTAGATCCGTGTGTAAGCGCAGAAGCCCATGTCCACTTGTGACCGTGATCGGAGCGTGCGTGGGCTCGAATGGATCTCATGCAGGAGAAAGGCTACTGTTCAGCCTCTGTGCCCCGTTGTTTTCTTTGTGGCAAACCAATTTACACTGGCCAAGGGACTTGTTCCCCCCCCTTCTTTTTTAGGAAAGTGCAGCAAAACACCACATCACCCATTTCATTCCACCTATTCTGGGGTATTATTCCCAAGTCCTTCCTACAAGATGAAAGATCCATTCAGCAAATATGTGGCCACCCGCTTGCTTGCTCCTGGGGATGAGCAACAAGCAAAGTTAGCAAATGTTTAGGACTAACCATGACCTTGGGCCAGTAAAGGCTTAGGCCACAACTTGGACAGTTACTGAGAGTGACAAAAAAGAAATTACAGTTTGAGGTTTTTCTGAATATATATACAGAGTCACCTTAGAAAGAAATAAGAATTCTCTCTCCTCGAATTATGAACATAGGAAAAAATTAAAAAAATTTTAAGACAAAGCACTGTACTTATTGAGCAAGAAATAGGGGCGCCTGGGTGGCTCAGTCGGTCAAGGGTCTGCCTTCAGCTTAGGTTGTGGTCCTGGGGTCCTGGGATCAGGTCCTGGATGAGGCTCCCTGCTCAGCGGGGAGCCTGCTTCTCCCTCTCCTTCTCCCTCTGCCCCTTCCCCCACTTGTGCTCTCTTTCTCTTGCTTGTGCTCTCTCTCTCTCTAATTAAATAAATAAAGCCTTAAATTAGCAAAAAGAATGAAACCAGCTACTTTAGTTCTTTTAATCCTCTAATTTTGTTGTTTTGTTTTGTGTGAGAGAGGGCAAGTTTGGTAGTTTTTCACATCGGTTATTTAATATAAGTTGATTTCATTAAAGGAAGCAGGAAGAAAAGGAAGAGGTGGAGGAAAGAAAACAGGACCCAAAGGGTGATTTCTATTGCCAGGATCTCTGTCCCAGCTGCTGTGTGTGATGCTCACGACACATCCTACAGCATGATCCCACAGCACGATCGCCAAAACGCCTCAAGTGGTCTGGGATGTTAGACCAGGGTTCGTTTTTAAATGTTTCTTCAGATAAATAAAATAAATCTTTCTTAAATAACCAGAATATTTGTCAAATCCTGTAAAATGAAGGAAGGAAGGGAAAGAGGGAGTGAGGAGAGAGAGAGAGGGAAAGAGGGAGGAGCTGGGCAGAATCTGCCCGAAAGAAAGGAGTTTCCGGTTTTCCAACCCAGCTCTGTGAGAGTCTGGGATTAGCATCCTTGAAGCCCACACTTCCTCACCTCCTCCCGGACGTGCTGTTTTGTGGCCTGTCCTTAAGTCGGGAGTGTCTGGAATACAGGCATTGGCATCACAGGTCAGCGGTGCAGTGAGGCTTAAAACGGAAGTTAACTAAAAGGTGGCTTGCTTAAAAAATGATAGATAGATAGAGATTGATAGATGGATGATGGATAATTGATAGATAGATATCTCCTGGAATTTCTTTCTTTATGCACCGGGATGTGGGCCTTAAGAAATGAAATCCGTGTTTGTAAAAATCCTAAATGTTTTTAATTCCAAGAAAAAATTAAGTTAAACATATAAGGGAAAAGAAATTTGGGGGGATGGCTGCACACTGGCTAAGGGGTGTGCTATGCAGCAATGGGGCCCTTCCCAGCGAACACACCTCTCAGTCTTGTGCCCCCCTGCGCTGAGTCAGGACGCTTTGTTTGTGCCACGCTGTCAATTTTCTTTGGCGCTGTGGATACATTTCTGTCTCCAACCACAGGCAGCACACTCTGCTCTCTCCATACCAATGCTTCTGGGTTGGCGGTTGGCAAGAGGCGGCCAGAGGGAGCAGGTGAATTTGGGGTTATCCCAAATGCAAACCTGTCCAGAGGAGTATCCATTTGAAGAGTAATCCCTGTCAGCTGCTGGTAAAAAGCTGCGGTTCCAACGCAAGCATTAGGTGGTGAAAGCTGTGTCCTGGGCAGGGGAGTGGGAGCCTGGGAGCCGCAAAAACCAACCATATTAGCATAATAATAGCTAACATTTACTAGGGAAATACTATGTAGGAATCTTTTACATATGTTGCCTCTTTGGTAACAGCCCTCTGAAGTAAGCCTTATGAGGACCATCCCCATTTTACAGATAAGGAAACTGAGGCAAGGATGCTAAGTTGCCCACACAGCTCAGAAGTGCTGGATAGAGGATTGCCTCAGCCAGTCTGTCCCCAAACACACATGATGAATCATTTCGCCACATGGTCTCCTGGCACTGCCCCTGTTCCAGCTCTGCCATTAGCCCAAAGCCATTGGTCAAATCACTGTCCTTACACAGCACAGAGTTACGGGGGTAGGTTGTTAGGTCCGTTATTAAACGAAACGAGACTGAGACAAAGTGAAAGTTATTTAAAGCTTTATTTTATGATAAATATTAGAAGTCAGACTGATTGGCCAGGGGAATGAGTCTGAAACAAAGTTAAAGTTATTCAAAGTTCTATTCTACGCTAAGCATTAGAAGTCAGACTGATTGGCCAGGGCCATCTCTGAAGAGAGGGACCACCCCCAGCTTACAGGCTTAAGAATTGATTGACTGATCGGTCAGGGCCGCCTCCGAAGAGGGCGACCCCTCCCCATCTTACAGACTACCTTTTATAGAGCAAAAGTTTGGCCACACATAGGTGGCCAACGAGACTGTAGTCATGTTAGGTCACACACAGGTGGCCAATTGAATTACAATTTACCCTATAGCAGCTGTTTGAACTAACCTGTTACTCTGGTCAGAACTGGCGCTCAAGGTTGGCACCCAAAAGGCAGAGTTTACATTCTTTGGTGGTTAGGGTGACAATATGTGTACTTTTTACTAATTGGATGTCTCCACCTGGCCTGACTTGTCCTTGCATTCTGGGCTCTGTTATCAGGAACTGGCCGACCTGGCCTTGTATTCTGGGCTCTGTTATTAGGAACTGGCTGGCCACATTCTGTGGGTTTCTTACTTATTTTTAAGTAAGTTTCTCTGGGTTGGGGGGGTGGCAGGGTCAGTGTAAGTTTTACTGCACAAACAACAAAATGGCTTTTAACCAAGATGGAGTCGCTCTGGCTAAATAAGGTCCTTACATAGGTGACTATCATCTTTGTGGTTCCTGATGGTGCTAGCCTTCTACAGTCTGATGAACTACTTTATCTGCAGGGACAGACCGGTGCTTTGGGTTAGAGGAGAACTCAGCTGTGCTTGTGGCTATGGCCGTGAGGACTATGAGACAAAATGCACCCTCTCTCTCAATAGAATAAGAGCCGGAAAACTGTCGCTTTGGAACACCAGTTTGGGATGAAGGGAGAGGGAGAGAGCATGGAGAAAAAACAGGGGAGTTGTAAAGGCTGAGATTCCATTCCTGAAGTAGCAAAGGGAGACCAGTCTCCCACATTCAGTGGCCACAAGACTTGGCTTCCCATCATTCAACATGGACTTTTCCTTAAGGGTTTAAGAGCTTCAGAAGCTTCAGGTTTATGGAAGTCACAAGGCTTATGTGACCATTTTGCCAAAGGGAAAATCGAGGCAGCAAATGATTAATCTGATGAGTCAGACCAAGACAGGCAGAACAAAAAGGGGACGCCAGACTCCTTGACTCCTCCAATCTGAGTCTCTTTCAACCCAAAGCCCCGCCTGCCACAGGGCCAGATTTTAGTCTAAACAATGCAAGCAGGGATCTTTCGAAATTAAAAACAGAATTATTCTTCAGAGTGAAGGTAAATGGGAAATAACCTCAATGTCCAATGAAAAGAGATTACTTAATGGGGCACCTGCTAGCTCAGTCAGTAGGGCATGTGATTCAATCTCAGGGTTGTGAGTTCAAGCCCACATTAAGTATAACGATTACTTAAAAAGAATCTTTAAAAAAGAGAGAGTGTTTAAGTAAGTGTATCCTGTTTCCACACCATAGATATACAATGTAACTACCAAAAAGGACTTCATAGAAGACCATTTAATGACAGGAAAAAGTGTTCTTGATATACAATCGCTAAAAAAAAAATGGTAGGTTACAAAGTAATATGCAGAATGGAATTTCACTTAGAAAAAAATAATAATTTGCAAAATGTTGGAGATATGTTAATGGTCATGTTCTCTTGGTGATTGGATTATGAGTACTTTGTACCTTCTTAATCTTTCCCTTTTTTTAAGATTTATTTTATTTTATTTTATCTTATCTTATTTTAGAGAGAGAGAGAGCATGAGAGGGGAGAGGTCAGAGGGAGAAGCAGACTCCCCACCGAGCAGGGAGCTGGATGTGGGACTCGATCCTGGGACTCCAGGATCATGACCTGAGCCGAAGGCAGTTGCTTAACCCAATAAGCCACCCAGGTGCCCTTAATCTTTCTTTTTTATA